AGCGGTGACAGAGTGGTGTCAGCTGGTATTGTTCATTCTGTGTGCTGGGGGTGCTGTGCCTGTTAAACAAACAGGTTCTGTGTGCTGGGGGTGCTGTGCCTGTTAAACAAACAGGTTCTTTCCACTTCTGTCCAAGGAATCCTTCCCAACCTGGTTGGGGGGAGAAGCTGTGTGGGTTTGCTTTCTGGAAGGGCCCCTTTGGAGGTTTTCTCCCAAATCTGCCCTAAACCAGGACAACCTGGAACTTCTCTCTAGGCTCCATCGCCTGTCCTGCGCTCCGGCTCCCAGCATGATGGTGCCACAGCACCCAGCTCTCCCTCCTGTGAAATACAAAGCTGTGTTTCGTGTCAGGTACATACAGGCAATGTGTGTATTTGTGATTGTGATATGTGTGGAGACAGACAATGGGACAGTTGCGAATTCTAGTAATAACTGGGGAAGATAAAGCATGGAAGAAGGCCTTTGAACCTATCTTTTGTTTGCAATTAACTTTAGTTGATTTAGGAGCATTGGAATTAAAGCATTAAGGATGTTGCTTTTTGCTTATAGTTAATCCTTAAAGAGTTCTGCAATAATAACCTTTTGAAGTATAATTTTAGAATATTGCTTGTATTCTTGAAACTATAGCTCTGGAATATATATAAAGTTTATCTCACGCCTTAATAAAGCAGAGAAAAACAGTTTGAGAAAGGAAGATGAACATCACATCAAGGGTTTATGGTTTTGACCACGGGAAGCTGGACATCACTGTTGTGAGATTTATAGTCTCTGCAATTAAAAGGTGGACCCACATCTGGGGAGCTGAACCCCACCAGATGGGATTCGTCTTTCTTCTTTCAGAAACTGGACCACCACCATCTGGGGATACTCCTTTTGGGATACATCCTGAGAAATTAAAATCACAATAGTGTATAGAATTGTGATGTAATAATTTGGAATAGAAACTGCTGACAAGTAAAAATTGGAATAGAAACTGCTGATGAGTAAAAATTGGGATAGAAACTGCTGAGAAAGCTGATGAGTACCCCTATAAATACCTGTAAGCCTCAACTATGGGTGTGCAGTTGGAGGGAAAACTTCCCCCACTGTACCCAGCGCTGCATTGCTCATACTTTACCATATTAATTAATAAACTGATTGCTGCTTGAATATTGGCCTAGTCAATCTTCTTATTTATAACACTCCCTCCTGGCCCAGGATGCTGGGAGGGCACAGCACCCAGCTCTCCCTCTCTCCCTCCTGCCCAGGGCACATCACCCAGCTCTCCCTCCCTCCTGCCCAGAGGTGCCCAAATATGGTGCCACACTGCTGCAGCGTGGCCCGGCATTACTTCACCCCTTGCATATGCAGCACACCTATTTACACATTTTAATGGGATTTTTGCCGGTCTGGCCCCCAGGGTGTTATCCCTCCTGTGGAGGGTGAGTGCTGCGATGCCCCCAGGCTTGTTTTCCTTCCAGCCCTTCACCCTCCCCACCCTGGAACGTGCATTTGCTCACTCACACCCTCCTCTGCAGCACCTTCTTTCAGACCTTTCCCCCAGTTTATGATTTCCATGCCAGGCCTGTCTCCTGCAGTGTTTGGGTGCCTCTCAGCTCCCCTTCCCCCCCAAATTCCATGGGCAGACAAACCATGTCTGTCTCTGTCTGACTCTGTTCTCCTACCATTTATGGAATATTTCATTTTCCCAGCTCTGGAAAACTCTTTCCAGTTCATCCTAGTAACTATTAACAGCTACTCTCTGAATATCCCGTGAGAAGAAGAAACTAAATTCTATGGTTACATCTGTTTTTGAAAAACCTTGGATGTAATTCGTCCCATCTCTCCAGGATGCTCACAGGTAATGCATTCACTCCTGCATTTCCCTGTCCCTCCTCCTCCTTCTGAAGCAGAGGGGGTGCTTGTCCTCCTTGCACCTTTCTAGGACTCACCCAGCCCTGCAAGGTCTCAGAAGCCACTGCAGAAATTCCCTCTGCACCCTGGCAGGAGCTGCAGCCTGACCTGCCTGGGCTGTGCTTGCTCTTGTCTCCTCTGCTGCAGCCCTGCCATCCCTGGGACCAAAATCTGCTTTCCCGGTGGCACCTCACCTGTTCAGTGACAACCATGGGAGCTGGAAAAGCAACAAATCCCTTGCAGGGACTGGCAGCAGCTTTTCCTTGCCCTAACACAGGGACAAGTCCCTGCTGCACGTGGAGATGGGATCCCTCTGCACCCCTCTGTCTGCAAACACGGTTCAGGTGCCCTGGGCCAACATCAGAGATGCTCAGGGATGGGCAGAGGCCTCAGGAGAGAGGACAAGGTCCTGCAGGGTGGGCACACAGCCCTGGCAGCACCCAGGGAGCTCAGGGACAGGCAGGCCCAGCTCTGCTCCTGGGCCATCACACCTTCCCAAGGGGAGGGAAATCCTGCAGGACTCAGCCTGGCAGCCAGGCTGGCCCCACCAGGTGCACCCACCTCTGGAGGCAGCCTCAGACAGGCTTTGATGAAGGGAGGCTGCTGGGGATTAGGTCCTTTTTAGGAATATTTCAATCCAAAGCTCTTTTCTCTGAGGCAGCTGAAGTTCTCCAGAGCTCCTGCAGAACGTGCACCCACCCACCCTCCTGTGCTGGGGCTGGGCCACATCCATGGAGAGGCACAGGGCACATCCCATCCCTGGGGCAGGAGAGTCCTGGAACCCTGTTCCAGGGAGAGGTTATATTTCATATAACCAATATATGAAATAAAACAAATCCTCCCATCTCACACACCAGGGCAATTGGAGCTCCTGCCCACAGAACCCCTGTCCTGAATCAGCCCTGGGAAAGCTGCAGCCCAGAGTGGCCAGTGGGTCACAGTCTGTGCCCTCAAGACATGAATTATTTCCTATCCCCTCCTCCCCCTCTCCCTCATCCCTGCTCTCCTGGGCAGTGACAGCCCCCTCCCCACTACAGAGCTGTTGGAATCACCCTGCACCTTCCCCAGGGCCAAAAGGGAACTTGGCCAAAGCCCAGTGTGGCTCTGGGGTGCAGAGTACCTGCAGTGTCCCCAGGCAGCAGTGACAGCCACCCCAGTGCTGCTGAACTGGGATCAGACACAGGGTGTGCAGCAGGGAGGGAGCAGCCAGCCCCAACCACTGCTCCAGCACCACACAGATGTGTCCTGGCTCAGGGAGAGCTTTTGCCAGCTGAGGAAGCCTTTGGGACAACCTAAAGAGCCATTTGAGCTGGGATTTGAGTCCTGCATTTTATCTTCTGGCAGGAACTGTCCTCTCCACAGCCTGGGGACTCCTGTGCTGTCTGACCAGAGCCTGCAGAGCTGAGGGATGAGGGATGAGGAACCTGAGCCCCAGCTCTGTGCACTGAGAGGAATCTGTGAGACACAAAGGCTCCAGCAGGGCTTCAAGGTGCTCAGAGCACCCAGGAAAACTCAGGCTCAGGGAATGGCCAGGAGCCCTGATTTAGAGGGGTGGAAACAAACTCTGAGGTGCTCAGCTCCCCTTGAGTCACCCTGCCCTTCTGCACAGGGTGATGGCTGGGGTGGAGGAACCCAGGGACTTCTGGCACAACCAAACTCCCTTTTATAAACAAAACATTGTTGAGACAATCAGAACCAACATCTGCCCCTCTCCCAGCTGGAGGAGAAGGGGAATCCTGGTCCCTGAGCTGTTTCTCATCCAGGATAAAAGCATCCCAAATGTCTCAGCAGTAAGCTCAGCTTACTGCTTAAGTTAAACTCTGAGCTGTGGAAACCAGCTCCCACACGTTGGTTTTTGAGGACACATGGATTTAGGAGGTGGCTTGGATGCAGCTCCCAACTTTGGCACTGCTGCACTGTGTGAGGTTGGGATTGGGTTTACCAGGGGTACATGGCTCCAGAAAGGAAATTTTGGAGGAAATACAAATTTCAGTCAAATGAAAGAAATGTATTTTCAATTCTTTTATTCAGGATAGTTTGGGTTTATTCCTGACAATAGCTCTGGAAGCTGGAATATGTGACAGAGTCTTTGGAGACCAACAATCAGAGAGAGGTGAATCAAAACCCCAGTGCAAACATCCACAGGGGTTCTTGTCTGGGAATTCACAACAAACTGTAGAAATCTTGTACAAAACCAGAACCTGAGAAAACAATGCCACAAATACCTGCTCAGTTTTGCTCAAAACATGGCTGTGTGCTCTTCCCAAGCTGCTCCCAGGCCACATGTCACCTGGGGCTCAATGGCAAAGCCTCTCCTTGGCCTCTCAGGACTGGGAACAAGCCCTGATCCCCACTCCATCAGCCCAAACTGTTTTTTCCAGTGTGTGTTGCTCAATATCCATCCATTGCTGCTTTGGGCTTTCCAGACAATGCCTGCCCACAGTGTCCCCAGAGGCAAAAAGCAGAAGAGCTCTGAGGATGAGGTGTCACCAGCAGACCTGAAACAATCCAGAGTTATTTCTGCACCATCTGGCACAGCTGAGCAGCCTTTGAGGCGAGCCCAAACACACCTGCAGGGCAGAAATCTCACTGCAGGTGCCAAAGGTGAGCTCAGGGATGAGCTCAGAAGAGCAACAGCTCAGGAACAGGTCCAGAAAGTGTTCTGAGGATGTGGTCACGCAGGAGCTGGGGAGGCCAGCCTGCACATCTGGGGGCAGGAGCCACAAACTGTCCCAGGCCAGGGCTCCAGCCCTGCCCCTGCCCTGCACACCCCAGCCAGGACCAAGGGAAGCAAGGAGCTGTGAGCCTGGAGAGACTGAGACACACGAGGTGACAAATTCTGCAGGGGCAGTGACCCAGGGATTGTTCCACCCTATTTATGTCCTGCAGCTTTTGATGCCACCTCAAAACTCCTTAATGACAAGAATCCCAAATGAGGATGAGGAACAAAGAGTCTTGCACTGACTGGGAGGTGGCTCCAGCTTCTTTGCCCTTCCTTTTCCACAGAACATGAGGAAAAAGTGAAGGCTCTGGAGGAGAACAGGGATCAGGTTGTCCAGGCTGCCCCTGGACCAGGGCTGAGGAAGGACACCTTGAGCCCAGCCTGGTGAGACACACTCCTCATGAGCACAGAACTCTGCAAACCCCCAGAGCAGGGCTTGGTCTCTGCTGTAAATCCCTACAGGAGGTTGACTTTGGCCACAACCTGCTTGCAGCCCATGCTGGAGTATTGCTTGTCCCCTGTAGTGTAGTAACTGAGCTGATTTGCCAAATTTTCAATGTGTTTCTGGTCGGGATAGAGCCCCTCCCTCCTCATCTGCTCCAGGAAGCAGTTTATGACGTGAGCCTTCTCCAGGAGGACGAAGGGGATGATGTCTGCAGCCTTCCACAGAGGGTGCACCCTGGCCAGCACTGGCTGGATGATGCTCAGCAGCTCTTCAGCTCCCCTTTGCTGGTGCAGGAGCTCAGTGGATGCATTCTGGGTAATGAACTTTGTGATTTCATCACCTCCCAGATTGCTGATTAAAATGTAGATGGCATTGAGGAACTCGTTGGTTTGATTGGGTTCAAAGAATCGGCTGAGAGTGTCCAGCAGGACGGGGGACATGAGCTCCACCTCATCCAGAATAAACAGCGGGGTCTTTTCCTCTATTTCAGCTCTGGTAACCATGTCAGCAATCTTCTTGGACAGGTCTATTGCACAGGTGAGGGGAGCCACCCCGCTGGGGCAGTGGTGCATCACAAAGTACTGCAGCACAAAGTCGTTGTCCATGACCGAGCGGAAGTGCTTGGCCAGCACCCAGCCAACGTGGCTCTTGCCAACCCCCGTGGGGCCGTTCAGAGAGATCACCAGAGGCTTGTTGTGGACATGGGTGGCCAGGTAGTCCTTCAGTAATTCCACAATGCTTTCCACAGCAACCTTCTGCCCAAACACTTCCCGGTGCATGGTTTTCTCCAAACCGTCCAGGTCGTATTTTTGGAGGTTATCATCCAGGTTCTCTATTGCATTGAGAATCTGGAAGAACATAATGGCAATGAGCAAGAGGAGGCAGCGCTTTGCCTTGCTCTTCTCCTCTGCTGGGAGGTATTTTTTTGTTTTATCTGGGTACAGAACCATCCTGGATTTCCTCCGGCTCTTTTTCCGCCTGCACTTTTTCACCGAGTAATGTTCCACAGACGTGTCAAAGGTGAAGTACTGGGAGCTCTCAAAGCCAGACTGATTAAAGAAGGCCATGGAAGGGGTGTACAGGGAAGTCCTGCTCAGGGACAGCTGCTTCTGGAGCAGCCTGGTGTGGACAAACTCTGCAGACTTTTCCCGAGGCAGCTCCAAGTGCAGCCGGCTTTTCTTCAGGCCCTGGTAGCGCCGGCGCAGGCGGACGAAGGCGCGCAGGGGAGAGGAAATGGAAGTGATTTTCTTGGGAGCAGCAGGGATCCCAGCGTCTGGCACTTCCTCTGCGTCACTCTCAGAGCAAGAGGCCTCTTCTTTTGCAGCACAGGGCATTTCCCCTTCCCTGTCACTATCAGTGACGGCAATGTCCCCTTCCCCATCGCTGTCGGTGATGGCAATGTCCCCTTCCCTGTCACTGCCACTGCCAGGAATGTCCCCTTCCCTGTCACTGGCACTGCCAGGAATGTCCCCTACCCCATCATTGTCACTGCCACTGCCAGGAATGTCCCCTACCCCATCACTGCCACTGCCAGGAATCTTCCCTTCCCTATCACTGCCACTGCCAGGAATGTCCCCTACTCCATCACTGCCACTGCCAGGAATGTCCCCTACCCCATCACTGCCACTTCCAGGAAACTCCTTGTCACTGGCACTGGCACTGTCAGGAATGTCCCCTTCCCTGTCATTGCCAGGAATGTCCCCCTCCCTGTCACTGGCACTGCCACTGCCAGCAATGTCTCCTTCCCTGCCACTGCCAGGAATGTTTCCTTCCCTGTTACTGCCACTGCCAGCAATGTCCCCTACCCCATCACTGCCACTGCCAGGAATGTCCCCTACCCCATCATTGTCACTGCCACTGCCAGGAATGTCCCCTACCCCATCACTGGCACTGCCCTGTGTCTCTCCTTCCACGCTGCCCTCAGTGAAGACAATTCCTTCAGTTGCAGCCTCTTCTTTTGTGCTGCTCTCAGCACAGGGCACCTCTCCTGCATCCTCCTCTGCTCCAGATGTGTCTCCTGTGGGATTGCTCTCCATGCAGGGCATCTCCACCCCCAGATCCCTGAGGACACTTTTTCCATCCACCTCAGAGCAGGGCAGCTCTTCCTCCATCTCTTCTGGCTCTTACAGCTCAATCACATCATCTTCTTTCTAAAAAGAAAAGGAATCGTGTAAAATCAACTGTCCTAATATTAGGAAGTGACCAATAACAGTGGAATTAGACAGATATCCCCCTTTCTAATGGGCAGAAACCTGCAGCAATCAGCAATGGCAAGGTGGCAGAGACTCTCAGACCTAAGCTGACATTCTGGAAGATGGGACAGTTGTGCAAAACTACAGATGGAATTCACAGAATTCACAGAATCACTGGGCTGGAAGAGACCTTCAAGATCATCAACCCATATCCCAACCCCTCAACTCAGCCCTGGCACCCAGTGCCACATCCAGGCTTTGTTAAACACACCCAGGGATGGGGACTCCACCACCTCCCTGGGCAGCCATTCCAGAAATTTATCAATCTTTCCATGAAAAACTTTTTCCTAATATCCAACCTGTATTTCCCTTGGCACAGCTCGAGGCTGTGTGCTCTGGCTGTGTCAGTGCTGCTGCAGACAGAGCCCAGCCCCAGCTGAGCACAGGCCCCTTTCAGGAGCTGTGCAGAGCGATGGGGACACCCCTGAGTCTCCTTTTCTCCAGGCTGGGCACCCCCAGCTCCCTCAGGGGTTCCTCAGTGTCAATTAATACAAACTGATGTTAAAACACAAACCCAACCCTGCCTCAGCTGCAGAAGGGAAGGTCAGAGCTGGCTGAGGCCAAAGCCAAAGGCTCTGCTGTAAGAAGGAGGCAGGACAGCAGGACAGACTGACCCCTGCTCTGAACCACAGCTGCCCACAGCTTTCCCTACACCTGCTAGATTCAAGGAACACACAGAGCCCCAGCTCTGTGCCAGCACATGCACCCAGGCACGTACACACCCCGTGGGAGGGCACTGTCCACCCACAGACACCTCCGGGGCTGAGGGAGTCACTTGCTGTGGTTGCCATCGTGGCTGTGGGGGCACCTCCCAGCGAGGATTTTCCTGCCTGTGCTGATGGATGTGCCTGGCGGGGAGCTGAGATGAGAGCTGCCCTGATGGGAGGGCTCAGAGGGGCTGCACAGAGCCAGTGTGGCTGTGCCTGAGCTGCCAGCAGCACCTGGCTGTGGGGAGAGGAGAGGCAGAGGGAGGGGGAGAGGGAGGAGGAGAAGGAGAAGGAGAAGGAGAAGGAGAAGGAGAAGGAGAAGGAGAAGGAGAAGGAGAAGGAGAAGGAGAAGGAGGAGAAACCCCAGAGAACCCCAGCCCTGCCACCCCCAGGGTCCTTCCATGCCCTCTGTGCCCACACACACCCCTGGGCATGAAGGAGGGACACAGGGGCGGCCACATGAGACCCTGGAGCTGCCCAGGAGAGCTCAGGGATGGTTATCCTGGGATAACCACCTGAATGGACAAACCTCAGCTGGCAAACAAGAAGGAGAGGCCAGAGGGATGTGACAAGAGGCGCAGAGCCAGCAGGGAACCCCTGGGAGAGCACAGCTCTGCAGTGTTGGATGCAGCCCCATGTGCTGCCCTGGCCCTGTCTGGCACCAGGCTGGAGGTGGCAGAAGCTGTGCCATGGTGGGAGGGCACTTTTCTGGCACCTCTGGGCTGCACAGTGCTGACACAAGGGACACTTTGCTGCTGCGGTGTGGGAGTGTCAGGGGTAGGACAGTCAGGACAGACAGAGACAAGAGATCTCTGCAGCCAGGGCTTGGAACTTGGGATTTATTGCAAAGGGCCTGGGTGCAGGGCCCTGCTGGGAGCAGGCCGCAAAGATTAGTTAAGAGAGTGGTACAGAGGATGAAAGAGAGAGAGGATGAGAGGATAAGAGCATAAAAGGGTAAGAGAGCGAGGTTCCCCTTACAATACCATAAATCTTCTTCTGTGTTGAATATTCTGATTCTCACTAACCAATCTAGTACAGGATACAAATCCTACAGCATTTACATACAGCCTATAAGAATCATTACATTACCACACTGTGTCACATTTTAAACCCTAAAAACTCCTCTTTGGACCCCTTCTGCCAAGCTGTAGGGTCTGCTCTGACCCTTGGGCCTGTCTGCAAGCAGAGGGTGTTGTTCCATCAAAAGGGGATCACCTTCAGCTGACCACAAAATTGTTTTCCTGTTGTTCAGTAACTGAGGTATCTCAAAGCTTGCTTTCATTTCAATCTCACTTATAGTTTCTATATTCTCAAAATCTTTTGCCAGGCAATCATATTTATAAGGCTTTCCTGTTTCATCTTCCCCAACACTGTGGCACTGCCAGCCCCGAGCACGGAGCCTTGTGAGGAAATGCCACTTTCATCAGCCATCCTTAAAACATCAACACCGGGTCTTGCCAAAGGCACCACGACTCTGGAGGGAGCAGGGAAGTTTGTTATTAACTCCCTGCAGCTCAGCAGGAAGCACCAACCTGCACAAAGTCACGCTCTGGACCAGGTTTTACTTCCCCTGCGCAAAGCGGCTCCGTCACCCCGAGCCCGAGGGCACCCGGGGGCTGCGGGGCACCCACGGGCCCTGGAAATGCCCCCTCTGGCCCCTTGCTAAACCCCACACCCGTCCTGGCTGCTCTGAAATGCAAAGCTTCACTCCCATCCATGCACAAGCTGATTTCAGGACCGAGTGAGGGCAGCCAGTGAGCTCAGCCATCATCCTGGAGCTGCCAGTGCTGGCAGCAATTAACCCCGAGTGCTAATTGCTGACCCAGTTCCTGACCCTGTGCAGGGCTTGGTGTGCAAAGCCAAACCAGCCAGACAGGATCTGGCAAGGAGGCAGCACCAGGAAGAAGGGCTGGATGCCACCATCACTGCCATGCCACCCAAACGATGGCACCGGGAGCCCTGGGCTGTCCCCACACTCCCCTGCAGTCACAGCCTTGCTCCTCTCCATCCTGCATCACCTTGCTCACACAGTGCCTGCAGGAACCCAAAGGGACAGCTGTCCCCAAAGCCACTGGGAGCAGCCCCTGCAGCTCAGACCAGCCGGGGCTCAAGGGATCAGGGACACCAAGAGCTCAGCCAGGGATCAGAAAACGCTCCAGGCACTCACAAACATTTCCACAAGCACAGGGTGACATTTTCTCAGCCCTTGCAGGTGAAGAGGGAGTTGGTTAAATGCCAGGGCAGAGGCTATGGAAATTTACAGGAGAAGTTTTAGAGAACAGAAGGATCACAGAATCATGGAATAGTTATGGCTGGATGGAACCTTCAAAGACCATCTCATTCCAAAGCCCTGCCACGGGCAGGGACACCTCCCACCAGCCCAGGCGGCTTCAAGCCCCATGGGCAGCCACCCTGGGCACCCCTGCCAGGGCCTCACCACCCTCATTCTCAGAAACTTCCTTATCTCTAATCTAAAGCCACTCTCTTCTAGTTTAAAACCTCTTGTCCTGTCATAACAGGACCTGCTTAACATTTTCTCTTTTTCTCTGGCTCCCTTCAAGGCCTGGCAGGGAAACACAGGACACCCCAAGCACTCCCCATGGACACTGCCAGGTGCTGCTGCAGCTGAAACACAGAGTGATGAGGCTACTCACAGCCCAGAGCTGCTCTCCCACTGCCATGCCCATGGAGAAAGCCCCAAGCCCTGTGGGGAATGGCGAGGAATGCTCATTAGCTGGGAAGTGTTCAAGATCCTCTTCCCACAAGCCCACCAGCACATCCATCCCACCAGTGTGGGATGCCCAACCCTCCAGACAAGCTGAGCAAGGCAGGGTGGAAGGACAAAACCCCATCCTGAGCAAGGAATCTGTCCAGTCATGAATATAATAACCCTGTTAATGCCATGACTCAGTCCCTAATACCTGCTGGTATTTTCACAGCACTGGAAGTTTCTAAGAGCACATTCAGGGTCGGGTCAGGGCTGGGCAGGAGGCTGTGCCAGCCAGCAATGGTGCAATTTGACAGTTAATTTAATATCTGGTGAAAACAACAGGAAAGAGAAGGCAGGAATTCAGAGTGCAGCATCCCAGTGCTCGTGTAAACACTGCTGATCTCTGTCCCGAGCTTGGACACTACAGGAAAACTTGCACTTGGAAGCACTCCTGGGAAGCCTCCAGCTTTCCTGCTGTAGCTCTTGCAGTGTTTGCACTGCAGCAAGCACCACAACAGCGTTTCCACAACAGAGGAGGCTGTGTGGGCAGCTGGAGGCAGCCTGGGAGAGGGGAGCACGATGGGGACAGTCCCGGCACAGCCCTGGGGGCAGGAGAGGCCAGCGGGAACCGCGGTCCGGGTTAAAGCACCCCCGGCTGGGGACGCTGCACCCAAACCCAGCCCCTGGGGATGAGCAAAGCTGATGGGGAAAGGAACGGCCGGGAAATTCTACAGATTGATATCCCAGCAAAGGTGCTGGGAAAGGGAACGGCTGGGAAATTCTAAAGATTGATATCCCAGCAAAGGTGCTGGGGAAAGGGAATGGCGGGGAAATTCTAAAGATTGATATCCCAGCAAAGGTGCTGGGAAAGGGAACGGCTGGGAAATTCTAAAGATTGATAT